ACATAACTTATTTTTAACTGTTCATGTCCTTACCCATAATGCATTCTGTTATAAGTACATGCATGAGATGCAATCCATATGTATGAATATTTAAGTAGGGGAGAATCTGCAAAGGTTATCAGAGCACAGTTTCCTCAAACCTCAGCACTACATTTACCATTCCTTTAATAAAAGCTTGCAATACAGGTTCATTTCAGAGCAAACCTTATTCCATTCTAGTGTTGAGTAGGCCTCAGGATCCCTCCTCTTGAGTAACTCTTGGAGGGGCTCTTGAAGTAGGTCACTGAGAGCATACCATTAAAGGTTCTAATACCAGGTGCCTGGTCCATTCCAGTCTCCCTCTGCTTCTTGACCACTGTAAGTGATCAACTTGCTCCACCACCTGCTTTTGTTGCCATGACAATCTGCCTCACCATAAGCCTGCAACAACGGAGCAAGCTGACCATGGTTTAAAACTGACTGGAACCAAAAAAAATCTTCCCCTCTTTAACTGATTTCCTGTAAGTAATTGCCACCATGAAAAGAACCTTACACAACAATGTATGATTATATCCACATTGATATTCATATCCAGATCTATGTCTGTGTCTAGATCTGTGTCTATATCGATATCCACAGGCCTCAAGGCCACCAGAGTACATCAGGGAATCTCCCATCCAAGGCCTCCAGTTTAAGCATAACCACATACCCTAGTCCACGTCCTCCAGAGTTCCATCTGTCTTCAGAATTCCTGCCTCCACCAGCTCCTCAATCTTGATGAGGTTATTGATTGAACTGATTTCCTGTAAGTAATTGCCACCATGAAAAGAACCTTACACAACAATGTATGATTATATCCACATTGATATTCATATCCAGATCTATGTCTGTGTCTAGATCTGTGTCTATATCGATATCCACAGGCCTCAAGGCCACCAGAGTACATCAGGGAATCTCCCATCCAAGGCCTCCAGTTTAAGCATAACCACATACCCTAGTCCACGTCCTCCAGAGTTCCATCTGTCTTCAGAATTCCTGCCTCCACCAGCTCCTCAATCTTGATGAGGTTATTGATTGAACCCCCATCCTGGGTTTAAGAAGAAAATTTCTTCACCTTTCTGTTTATCCATGTATCCTGTTCCTCAGACTCCCTTCAACAAAAAATCTAACACCTTCTCATCACCTTACCTTCTTCCCAGCCCTGTTGCTCCTGGTTCAACTGCCACGACAATTTAAAAACATTTGAATAATTCTTGCTTTCATTTTTTATTTAAAATGATGGTGAAGTTTATTGGGAAAAGAATTTAGTATAAAGGGAGAAAGATGCCTGCTCCCTGTGAAGGAAATGAGCACTTTCAGTTGCTTTATACCCTAAATTCAATTTGTCTCTAAAATGCTTATGTCCAGTGCTAGAATCATGGCTTAAGCAGTACAGCGTCTGCCTAGCAAGTGAAAAACCCCAAATTTAAAACCCCAGTACTGCAAAAAAAGCAAACAAACATAAAAAACTCGCCCTATATCCAATGAAGAATTCACAAATATTCAAATTTTGACTCTGAATAGATTAAAAATGCATATTTGTAGTGCTTGCATATTCCCATCATATAAATACTGAAAACGTAGCTAGTGTCTAGCTACCAATCATTTAACAACTCAATTGCAAAAGTCCTGACAATTCCACAATGGGCTCCCTCCCCATGCCATTCCCAGCCATACCAGCACAGTACTAAACTATGTCTTCAATCTGCACATGGCTCACCTCCTCTGCTGCCTGGACCCAGCCAGTCCATCACTGGATCCTCCAACCCCTCTCCTTTGTCAGCCATAGTCCCTGGAAATATGAGTCAAATCAAGTCCCTCTTCTTCTTCCTAGCACTTCTGCAGGTCTCACTCTCTTCCTTCTTTCTGGTCACTGCTCAGTGTCTCTTTCTTGAAGCACTGTCCTTATATCTCCATAAAAAAAAGTTGAATTCCACTCTCCACCTGGCTTCCAATTCCTCTTACCTTGAGCAATGCTTTTCCTCAGCACTTAATACCACCCATCTGTATTGTATCAGATGCAGGCAGCCCTCACTATAATGAAGGAGCAGGATTGCAAAAATGACTTGCACACTGTATTCCTTGGAGGCCATCTCCAATTCATTTGGGAAAAGAATGACCAAACTGGGTCTTTTATGATTTTTTTGGTAAAAATATTATAAACACTCATAATGTTGGATACAAATATAGGGGGAAATGAAAAATAATACCAAAACATTTCTCTAGTACACTTTCATTTGAAACATGAGAAACACTGAAATTAAAATATTTTATTTCTTTGTAAGAACATTTTGGCAGTAGTTTCTACAGTGTTTCCCTTCTAGCATAATTATGATGGGAAGCAAGCATCTTTTCTACCTTGTTAATTATCATCCTCTTCTGTAGGTTTCAATCAGCTTCCTGCATTTCCTTTGCATGTTTAATGTTGGGAGAGCTTTCCAAATGTTCATTTAATGTGAAGTTTTTGCTGGCATCACTTCCTCTGGGACATCTTCCCCCTTTGTCACCACCCCTCTTGTCTCTGATGTCAGAGCTCACCCTCAATAAATTCTTATGAATGTTGTGTTAAATCCTCAAGCTGGCATCGGTGGCTCATGCCTGTAATCCTAGCTACTCAGGAGGCAGCAATCAGGAGGATTGTGGTTCGAAACCAGTCTGAGCAAATAGTTGCCCTATTGCAAAATTATCCATCAAAAAGGGGGGGGGGCTGGTGGAGAGGCTCAAGGTGAAGGCCCCGAGTTCAAGTCCCAGTACCTCAGAAAAAGAAAAGTCCTCTAAACAGGTTCAGCACTAACACCATGGTCAGTGATTTATAATTCTAATGCTTTACTTTCAGTAACCTTGAATTTAATCCCAAGCATTCTCTCTATTCCTCACTGCAATTCTTTTTTCTTCCTTTAACCCTACCCTCCCTCCCTCCTTTCCCTCCTTCATCCTGGAGTTTCAATGACTCCATCCAACGCTGTTCCAATTACTAATTATCCCTTTAAGGACATTCTTCATTTCTGTTACCGTTCTGGTTTCTAGTATTTCTTTTTTATTCTTTCTTAGAATTTCAATCTCTGCCTATATGAACCATCTGTTCCTGCACGCTGTCTTATTTCCCCCTCATGCCCTTAGCATTTTAATCACAGTTGAAAAAAATTCCTCATCTGAAAATTACAACAATCCTTTCATATGTGACTCTGTTTTCAATGGTGGTTCTGTGTCTTCAAACTGTGCTTTTTGCCTTTTCGTATACCTTGATAACCACGTATGAGGTGCTAGGTAAAAGGAGCCACTATAAGGATTTAAGACAGTGCTGTAAGTAGGTGCTATGAACAGGTCTCAGGCTTTTGGTGAGTCTGGGCCCCTGTGAAGTTCATTGGCTCTGAGGGCTCTTCGTGAATCTCTAAGGGCTCTTCCCTTCTGTGGGAAAGGATGGTGGGAGGTATATGGAGTCATATAATCTCTTCCCCATCCATGGAAATCCAGAGGTAACTGGAGTTGAGCATTTCCTTTCTTCAGGCTCTGGTAGAATCCATTAGTTTAGGATCTAGTAAAACACTTTCTCTCTCTGTTGAAGATGTAGGAATATGGGATTCTTGAAGGAAAAAGTCCCAGACCCACAGATGAATAGGGCCAGGCAGGGGAATGGTGATGGAATGTTTTCAGGAAGATGGGGGTTTGTCTTCAGAGTTCTGTGTAGTTCAGATTACACTGAGGGGTGATGCCTCTTTCTCACCCTGCACTCTGCCCCACCCAACTCTGGACACCAACAAACCAAGGTGTGCAGAAAATCATGAACACCTCAGATATCAATACCTTAGATCTAGCTGTATCCAATTTAATTGACGCTGCCAAAAGTAAACCACAAGACAACCAAGTCCCTCAGGGGAAGCAACTGCCACCTCCATGAGTCAACCACCACAGGGGTGCAGAGAAGTCCCAAGGGTGCAATTGATCTCAGAGGCAGGGATGACACAGCAAGTCAGAGAGCTGAGTTAAGGCCTCTGACCAGCAGCTGACACCATAATATTGGGGCTCACTGAAAAATCATTGTTTGAATTTTCTGTCTTCACCTGGCCCCAAGAGCACCAACAATGGCCTTCTGGTTTTCAAGCAATTATAGCTATTATCTCTTTTAATCTGCACAATGAACTGTAGGAAAAGACTTCTTATCCCCAGTTCAGAGGTGACAAACTAAGCCTAGTGGGATCTAGTGACTTGACCAACTCCTTGGCACATCCTCTTCACCAGGTCCCTCTTCCTTCCTTTCTCCTCAATTCTCAACTGCACACAGTGGCAAATGGGATAGGTGTTTTCTATGGAGAACAAGTCAATGTGATGGGACTTCCCCTTCCCTTACACTAGGACTTTTCTACAATATGTCTTTCCATATCCTGCCATTCCTATCACCCATTACCCCCAATGTGCCCCACCAACAGATGCTAATTAATCTAAATTCACTTTCTCTCCAGGATGAAGATCATACAGGATTCCTTTTGCTTGGTGTACTTTCATAAGTCCTAAGGTTCACATCATACTGCCTTTGGGGTATGTTTACCAGTTTTACCAGTAAGAGGTTTGCAATAAGTTGTCAGTTCAGGGGCAGATCCCATTTTGCCCCAACATTAAGTAGGTCTTGGGAACCTTCCTCTTGACTCCAGCAGAGTAGCTCTTGGGGGAGCTGATGCAGAAGAAGGCCACATGACAACCACACCCAGTGGCTTAAGATTAGGACTTAAGTGCAAGTTCTTGGCCAGGAGCTCACACTGGGGAATCATTAAGACCTCAAGATGGTGTGAAGGTCATAGTGGATGGCACTCAGGCCCCAGTGAAGAGGAAGCATTCTTCCTGTTAGTGTAATCTGACTTCCTCTAGAAAACACCATGAGTGACTCCTAGCCTGTAGGTTCCTGAACTGGCTGATTTCTATTTCACAATATGGTGACAGTGTGTTGTCTCCATCCATCAAAGCCATTTCCTCTTTTACAGAGCAGAGCCTATGATCTCCTCCAGCACAGACACTGGGACACAGTAGACTGCATGATCTCCACAATGCTTACCCCTGACTCCTGGTCTCAGACTCCTCATCCTGTCCTGCTGCTGACCTTGCTGCTGGGACTCACAGGTGAGTCTGGCCCTGAAGTAGAATCCTCTCTCTCTGACCCTGGTGTGGCCTGCACCTTGATTTCCAGGGACTCCAGATAAGTACCACCCAGTCATAGAAAGCAAGAACAGAGCACTCTGAGTGAGAGTCAAGAACAGGGACCTGAGCACTGTCCTTGGATCTTTATGTGCAGCAGGTGACCAGAGGTTTCTTTTATTTGTTCTTGTGCTTTCTCAAATCTCTATTTTTGTTGCTTGGAATTTCTTGAGTGTCTCCTGTACATTTTGGTTGACCATATCCAGTATCATATCTATAAAATTCTCATTGATTACTTGCAGGAGTCTGGATCTGGGTATCTGTTTTCTTCATTTCCCTCTGGTTCTTGTACTAATTTATTATTGGGGAGAAAATGATTTCCCTCTTTTTTCCATCTTTCCATCATTGCCCTTGCTACTGTTACTGTCCCTGTACTGTGTGTAATTCAGTATTGTCTAGCTTGTAATATTAACTATGATGAAATCTAGAATGGAAGGGTAAGAGGAGAGGGAAAACAAAGAAAGGTAAAGAAAAAGGGAAAAACAATAACGACAACAACAAAAACAAGAACAGAGCCAAAGAAATAAACAGGGGGAGATAGTGTACTAATCAACAGTGAGCTAAACAGGCATTAGAGAGTCAGAGAGAGGATAAAAAAAAATCCCCAAGTTCAAATGCAACAAAGCCTCAGTCCCAGTAGTTTTGGTATTAATCCTTCAGCACCTAGTCCTGGTGTTGGTGTCTGATTAGTACTTCTGTCATTGTCTGATCAAAGGGGGAAAAAATATCCCAAGTTCAAATGCAATACAGTTTCATTAGTCCTTCAGCATCCAGTCCTGGTGTTGGTCCTTGAGTAGCAGTTCTGTGGTTGTCTCATCAAAGAAAAAAAAAAGAGTCTGGAGACAGCTTTGTGAATGTCTATCTGAGGCTGCGGCTCACTTGCCACCTACTGTCAGCCAGCTGCTGCTGCATGATTTATTTATTGCAGATCTCAGCAATGAGCTTTACACTCACCTAGCCTTGCAGGCTTTGTTTATTTAGAGTTCTCCTGGATGCATGCCCCTTTTGCTTTCTCCAGTATACAGCCCTGCCTTCCTGTTGCAATTGCAGTCTGTTTTTTTTTTTTTTTTTTGTATTTACAGATCATGTGGGGATGTGCCCCTCCCCGACTCTCCAGTGAAGTGTGCCACAGGACAGCCACTGTTGCAAGCTTTCCCCACTCCAAGGTTGCTGGGCGAGTGCTGCAGCTCCTGCCTTCTCAGGCTGGCTTGTTTATTTACAGTTTGTGTGGGGAAGTGCCCTTCCCCCCACACTCCAGAGTTCAGGGTGCCCTGCCATCTTTTTTTTTCAGCTGTTTGCTGATTATTCAGTTTGGTTTTTTCCTTTTTTTTTCCCCTGGGCTGGGGTCAGTCTGTTCAGGGGGCTATGCTGATTTGTCCTAGGTTCTTTGTGGGAGTATTGCGTGCCACTTATTTGCTCACCTGAGGGTCTGCCAAGCAGGTTACGAACTGGCGTCTGGCAGTGTAGGAACCCTCCTGGCTTCTCCATTTAACGTAAAGTGGGGATGCTCTGCGTGGATTGGTGGTGTGGAGGTGTCAGAGTTTTGTCTATTCTTGGTGGTTTTTCCTGCCACGTGTATCTGCAGTGTCTCTCCAAGATTTTACTTTAGGAAGCACACTTTCTGCTTCCTCCCTCTAGACGCCATCTTGGAATCTCCCATATTTTCTTCTTAATGGGGCCTCTGTTTCCTAGGGCTTTTTTTGTAGCCATTGTCAATGAGATTTTTTTTCATGATTTCTTTTAGGAATAGAATTACTGGTGCATAAAAATATACTGATTTTTATATCAATTTTGGATCCTATAATTGTAGTGAATTTATTACTTTGGATAGTCATTTGATGGAGACTTTGTTTTTCCTATGTGTAGAGTCATATTATCTACAAAGAGGGATAATTTAAATTCCTTCATTTCTAGTGCTGTGCCTTATTTATATTTCTTTCTCAGTAAGGAGCGATTAGAGCCCTTTAAGACGTGAAGACCTGGGAGGATAGTCTAGAAAGATGAGAAAAGTTCCGTGGCTCTCTAGCTGGAGGAGGGAGGAGAGGACTGTCTTTGCAAGAGAAAGTGTGGATGGCAGAGTCCCAGAAAAGTGTCATCATGGATGCAGGTAATCATAGGTAGTGGGAGAGTTCACAGTCATCACTCTTACAGGAGCAACCTGGGGTTTCACAGTACCTTTCTACTATTTTTCTTCTATTTTATATTTAGTAAACTTCTCAAAATTATTGGGGTACAGTGTTTAACTTTAGTGAGATTCCTATTAGGATTTGAGCCACTATATTTGTTATGTCTGTGAAAATTTGAGAATTTACCCACATTTGGAATTTCTAAAATCATTTAGTAGGGACACAAAAACCAATCAGCATCCTTTTTAATCTTTTGTGTTTGTTTGTTATAGAAAATATCAGTGTATAAATTCAGTATATTAATTTGGATTTCCAACTAGGTGAAACTATGGAATGTTGATTTAATTTAGTTATATATTATACACACAAATATACAATTCATCAGTTTATTACAAATTTATATTAAAATAGTATATATATATATACATGAAGTTTTCACTAACATTGTTTTCTCTGTCTTGTTATTAAATCAATAAGCAATCTAAGGTTAGCAATATGTTGTTAGATCTCATGATAGCCTATTACACAGGATTAAAGTAACTTTTTAAAATTTTGACTTAAAAAGCAACAGTCTGTCTCTGCTTTTTTTTTTTTATAGGTTTAACTACCTGATCAGTATTCATAAATTACTACGTCTGGTTGCTTAGAGAAAAAACAGGAACAGGAAGGCTTTCTGCAAGATAATCTGTCCTTTCACCTACGTTGTTTCCTTCTGCAGAATCTTTTAGATAATTTTAACAATAGATGAATTTTTTCCCTTCTATGATGCTGGCAACCATGCTGATGGACATCTGACAAGGTCCTGGTTGTTTTGAGTGGCCTCTGTCGTGAGAAGCAGCCTCTGTCTCTAGGTGTCCCTAGAGAGTCTAAGATCTATAGATCTTTCTTCCTCTAGAGAGAAACAGTGGCCTCACCTTTGTCTTTAAAATTTTTTATTTTGTAACAATTCAATTTTAAGGAACAGTGTCTTCGTATTTCAAAGAGTAATAGCATTTAACATCTAAGTACATGCTCACAGGACATTTATGATTGCATATTCCTACCTCAGAGGTCTTGAGGGGAGAGGTTTCCTTCCCATTTTCCCTGCTTACAGTGAGCTGTCCATCATCCTGGATGGATTCGGTAAATGGAAAGTGACAGCAGTGAGGATGCAGTACAGAAGGGGCTGTGGCACCTGAAGCATGTATACTGAGTAGGTGTCAAGGACACCTGCTTCTTCTCTTTTTTGCATGTTACCAGCTTACCTGTTTTACTAATGAAGAAAACCAAAAATGGGCAAGAAAAGTTCACTGGAGAGAAGTCTTTATTAGGCCCAATGTTGCAACATCAGGGGGCAGCAGAGGAGGGTGTCTCCAGGCTGAGTCACAAGTCAGCCTAACCACCTAGTTATATCTCTAGGAAAGGAGTGTGACAAGGGTGTCTCACCAGTTGTGGCACACTTCATGTCCTAGCCAGAAATGTGCTTGGCAGTCAGCTGTGGTTGTCAAGTCACCTCTTGAGGGCTCCAGAGTGTTCAAAGCAGCTGGCGCTGGTAAGAGGGCTGTCCTTGGCTTGGCTGGTAGTCCTTTGCCATCCACAAAGGGAGCTGAGGATCCAAGGAAGGGTCAAACCGCATCAATTAGGAAGTCAGTCACTCCTGCCCTAAAGTCTTAGTATATTGAAAGGAAAATGAACGCTAAATGGGTGCTTACAATAAAGACCTATATTTGACATTAACAATCACTTAACAGTACTTAACAATGCTTAACTCTTCTTCCAGTCCCTCGAGGACAAGTGGGCCCTCTTGTCTGTCCTTTACTTGCTATCTAGCATCCTTCATTTCCATTTATTGTATCTTACAGGGCAGGAATCATGGTTATGACCTCCTCAGGTTTTGTTTATCTGGGAATATCATATTTTTCTCTCTCATGAGAGAAGAGGTTTTGCCATGCACAGAGTTCTTGCTTGTCTGGATTTTTTCTATCAGCATTTTAAATATATTATCTCACTGCCTTGGGGCCTGCGACATTTCTGAAAAGCACTCAGGTGAGACTCTTATGGAGGATCTTGTATGAGGTGAGCAATATGTCTCTGGAATTTTTCAATGTTCTCTCTTTACTTTAGCTTTTGATGGTTGGATATACTGTGTCTCCATCTTGGTCTGTTTTGAGTTTAACCTACGTGGAGACAGCCCAGCGTCTGGATTTCTAGACTCAGTTATTTCATCAACACTTATGGTTTAGGACATTAGTTTTTCAGATAATCTTCGCCCCTCTCTTTTTGTCTCATCGCTCTCCTCCTGGGATCCCATAATGGGTGTGTGGAGCCACCTGATGGTCTCCTCCAAGTCCTTGGAGTTCTTTATTTTTTTCCTGTCTGCACACAGACTCTCTGACGTTATCGCCATATTTTCTGATTCTCACTTCTGCCTGCTCACTTCTGTTGTGGAGCCTCTCCAATGAGCCTATCAGCTATTGTGCTTTTCAACTCCCAAATTTCTCCCTTTTATGATTTCTTTCCCTTTGTGGATGTTCTCATTTAATTATTAATGCTCCTGATTTCCTTAGTGCCTTGTCCATGCTTTCCTCTACCTTTCTGACCATGTTTAAGATATTTAGTTTATAGTCTTGGTCTGCGATCAGGATGTGCCCAATAGATCACAAGAGTCTTGACAAGAAGGAGGCGAGAGGGTCAGAGATGGAGAAGGATGTGTGATGAATGTAGCGGGAGGATAAGTGATAAGAAGATGAGAACCAAGCAAAAAGAATCCTGGCAGACTCTGGAATGTGGTTAGGCCAGGGACAAAGCCTCTAGGGAAAAGTGCAGCCTAATGACCCCTGAATGGTTGCCTAGCAACACCAAATTAGGACATTTGACATCCAGACCGAGAAATCATAAATTTCTGTTCTTTTTGTTTGTTAGCTTGCAGTAATGGGGATGAACCAGGGCTGTGTGGTACTAGGCAATGTCATTTGAACTGTGCCTCAGCCCTTTTGCTTTTGATTTTGAGACAGGGTCACATTGCTACCTTTGCTCTGGCATGCCTCGAGTTCACAATCATCTTCTCTCTGGGGTGGGATTGCAGAAATGTGCCAGTACCTGAGTCTTAAATTTCTATTGTTTAATGACACTAAATTTTCAATAATTTGTCAACCCAGCAATAGAAAATTGCTATAGTGTGATTATGTCATAGGGAAAAATCCTAGGAGTTTAAAGCAATGTTCTATTCCCTTGTAAGCCTCACGGGAACTCTTATATCATCATCACTCCAGGTTGGTGGAGCAAAGCTACCGTGAGCCATGTGGAACGCTGTGAGAGGAGGAAAATGCAGAGACTCTGGCAGTCAAATGCATGTGCTCCTCACTGTGACCACCACCTCTGTTCACATCTGGGTGGCCAAAAGAGAGTCACATGGCCACCGACACCATGGTCCACCAAGTACAACATACCATGTGCACAGAAAGTGAAGAACAGACAATGGATGAAACATGAGAATTCCAGAGATGGTCAGGGACTCAAATACAAACACTATCATGTTTCTTAAACTCTCTGTGCCCCAGTTTCCTCATTTCCATTACTGTCTCTGGTTTGAGGCCCATGTAAAGGTTAAACCTGCTTGAACACACTGTGTGCAGAGTTCAAGTCCTGGTCACACTGTGCACTCAGGCACTGAAACTCATTGATAAAACTTCAGAATCTCCACGGGTCCCCTCAGGACGCACAGTAACTGCTGTTTCCCTCCAGGAGCTGCCGCACAGGAGGAGCTGCAGGTGATTCAGCCTGACAAGTCAGTGTCTGTCGCTGCTGGAGAGACGGCCACTCTGCGCTGCACTGTGACCTCCCTGCTCCCTGTGGGGACCATCCAGTGGTTCAGGGGGGAAGGACCAGGCCGGGAATTGATCTTCCGTAAGACAGGAGGCCACTTCTCCCGCGTCACACTACTTTCAGATGGCACACAGAGGGACAACATGGACTTCTCCATTCTCATCAGTAATGTCACCCCAGCAGACGCTGGCACCTACTAGTGCGTGAAGTTCCGGAAAGCCAGTGGCTCTGAAGACACGGAGTTTAAGTCTGGACCAGGCACTGAGCTGTCTGTGCGTGGTGAGTATCTGTGGCCTTCCTTTGTCCCCTAGGGAAAAATAACAGGTCAAGAATAACGCCCTCTGTTCTGTAGCGACAGCTAACGAGCAGGTGCAGGAGTGGTGCTCATATTCAAGAACTGATTTCCCACCCGTGATCAGGGCCCAGGCCACACAGGACCTGCACGTGTGTGAGGCTCCACAGCTGGTCAGTGAGGGGACATGTGCAACCCTTGTCTGCCTGCCCACAGCCAAGCCAATGCCTCCACAGATGAGGGTTCTGTTTAAGTGACTTGGCCATCGTATGGCCTGCACTGTCCTCATGCCTCCAGGGAGTAATTCCCCTCGGTAGTCAAGCCTCCTCCTTACACCACAGGCACCGAGGGCTTATTGTGTGCCAGTCATTGCTCTCAGTGCCATGGGGACACCAGGGCTTCAGCGTCCTCACCTGTCTCCCTATGAGTCCCCCTCGCAGAGCATGGCAGAGACTGAGGAGTGAAGACATGTTAAGCTGTCAGACCAGTACCTGGCTTGTATGAAATGTCAGATCACTGTGAGTGTGACATGTAGAGGCTGTGTGACCTTGGATGAGTCACTTTCCTTCCCCAGGCCAAGGTGTCAATGGGATGGGGGGGGTCGGGTGATGTCCACCTGCTGCTCATTGGAATACCTGGGAACCTGAAATAAATCCCAGACCCAGACTCCAGTCTGGAAATTTGTCTCAGTTGCTCTGATGAGGGTCTGGGCATCTGAAGACTGATTACTCCAGAAGATTCTCAAACAGAGCCAGGGCTCACAACTCTTGAGAGATGACAACTCCTGAGATCAGAGGGGGAAAGTGGCTTTTAACCTACAGGCATTTTGGTCCCCCATGGCCCTGGGGTGTCAGAACTCCTTTTCAGTGTGACCACTTCAGAATAGCATGTGCCGGGCACGGTGGGCACATCTCCCAGTCAGCAGCCCAGACAGTGTGCTGCTCAGACCCCAGCCTCAGTTGGAACTTCCCCATCTCACAGAGGTCTGCATTTGAACTGGTGCTGGAGCCCAGTGAATCCCCACTGTGAACAAGACTCTCCCATGCCTCCCATGCCTCAATGTCACCCAATGTACTTTGTCCTCCTCCTTGCACAGAGCGTCCAGCTTTCTGTAAAGAGCTCCTCTGGGGAAATGCCTGTGAATCTCTTTGTGATGAGAAAACCACTTCACAAACTCTGTTCCTGAGGAAATTATTAGTAGAGGAGAGGGGCCTGATACAGTGATTTCTGCCCTTCCTCATTCTGGTTTCTCATGGGAGCAGCAGAAACAGGATGGAGACCTTTACTGGTGTTTCTCTGGTTTTGTTGTGCCTGCTGGCTATGTAAAGAATGAATGTGTGTGTAGTCATAGGTGTTATTCATCAAGCAACTACAATATAACACGTCACTGTGTTCAATCAATCCTTGCTCATCTTCCCAGGGTTGTGGTTTTTCCACTTTGTACAGATGAATACACTGAAGCTTAGAAGATGAAGAACACCAAGATCAGGAGGACACTGTAAAATTAATCAGCCTGTCTGGATGAGATGAACTGTGCTTTTTCCTCCTTGTCCCATTGGCTGGGCATGTCCCTCTCACAGCTTTGTCCCACAAGGAGCTTACAATCTGTTGCTCTCACAGAGCTGCTTGAGTATGGGGGAGCTTAGGGGCTCAGAAGGAGCCCTGATCAGGCCAGATCAGGATGCACAGAAACCCTTAATTAATCAACTAATTACAGTCCAGGGTACCATCAGGATCTTGTGGCTGCTGCTGTCTTGATGACTTATTTCTTCAAGTGAGGGTGATAGGTAGGAAATCAACATTTACAATTATCTGTGATATGGCTAGTCTAATGCCTATTGGAGAATGGGCTGGGTAATAATTGGCCATCAGGAGACTCTGCCTCCCACTTCCCATCATGCATTTGTGTGCTCTCATGACCAGGAAGTGCCCCTGCCTGCTCAGAGCACCTGTATCTGGGGGACTTGGAGTTAATTAAGAATCCACCCTGGATTCCTCAGCACTCTGTGATCTGTGATCCTAACCCCAAACAGTCCCAGGAAAAGCACTCAGATTCAGAAAGCATCCTTTAACCTCTCCCTTTCAAGTTCAGGACTGAGTATAGGTTAGACCCCTGGCGTGTTTGTGGAAAGAAGGAAAATCAAGGAGTGAGTCATAGGTTTCTGCAAGGAGAGCTCTGGATGGATGGAGTCTATATGGAAGGCAGGGCTGTGCATTCCTGTGTGAGAAGCAGGTCCTGTGTGTTATGCAACATGAAAAGCTTCCAGGGCCTCACTTCATCCTCCTGTGGCCCAGGAATGAGAAAAATCACCGCCCATTTCACAGGCTCAGCACAGGGTTGTGGGCATTGCACCCTTCGATGGCCAGCAGGGTTCCAGCATTCCTGTTGTCCCATGTTGTACTTTGTCCATTGTGTTCACTTCTAGAATTGTTTCACCTAGGATGGCAAGGTGTCCAGGGGAACCAAATAGAGAGCAGTTAATATAAAACATGAGACAGGTCACTATTTCCTTCCTGTGCCCAGATTGGTGGATCCCTTAGTGCAGAGAGAAGAAGTTAGACCTCAGGCTGAAATTGACCTGGATTTGCCCTTCCTCACTGCCTGGGTAAACAGGTGTGCTACCTCTGGAGACAGTAGGACAAGGTCACAACAGGAGGATAAGGCAGAACCACACCCCAGCATTATTTGGAGGATTAACAAATATTGTCTATGGCAGAGGACTTAGCCAACAAGCAGAGAAAGTGCTTAGCATTCATGACTCCCTGGATTTTATTCCCAGCTCCCTACAAACACAAAATAATACTGTCTAGGAAGGTTGCTCAGAGCATCACTCCCTTGTGGTCAGGGGTGGCCATCACAATCATGTCTCTTGTCAAATGCTCTTTGTAGCCAGACCCTCTCCACCTATGGTATCGGGCCCTGGGACCAGGTCTACACCTGGGCAGACAGTGAGCTTCACCTGCAAGTCCCATGGCTTCTTCCCCCGGAATGTCGCCCTGAAGTGGTTCAAAAATGGGAATGTGCTCTCCAACTTCCAGACCAATGTGGATCCCACAGGAGAAAGCATCTCCTACCGCATCTCCAGCACAACTCAGGTGGCACTGGACCCCGGGGATGTCCTCTCTCAGGTCATCTGTGAGGTGGCCCATGTCACCTTGCAGGAGGCCCCTCTTCGTGGGACTGCCAACTTGTCTGACACCATCTGAGGTAGATGACCCTGACTCCTTACCCAAGTCCACACCTTGCCACTAAGCCTGCTCCTCCTCAGGGCTTTTGCCCGAGGGCCTGATGGCCTGGCACCTCATGCCCAGCAGGCCTGTCCCCCCATGCACAGGAGGTCTCAGATACCACCCCTGGTAAGACACCACCCCAGCTGACCAGCTCTTTTAAGAAAAAATTTTATCTCTTTCTACATGTTAAAAGTAGTATTCATAGTTATTATAGAAAAATCCATAAGTCTACAAGATATACAATATGACTGAGGGAACCTTTCTTCCCTCAGTTCCCATATTCCAAAGGTTAGTACAGGTAAGTTTCAGACATATCAATGGATCTTTTGACATCAAAAAATGTTAATGAAGACAGAAGAGAGGGAAGGGGATTGCCTATCCTATCATTTCCCCCCTCTTGCCTTCCTCACCTAACTGTTGTTACCCTCTGCTTCCCTTGGCCCTCTCCCCCATTCTTACTCTTTTTAACCACCCCAGTCTCCATCTCAACTTAGACTTTCACATAGATCTGGATCCTCACCCAGCAGTCCCTGGCACCTGCTGGTATAACTCCAAACGAACTACCTAAGGACGTGGGTTTAAGTGTGGCTAGGCATCCAAAGGGTGCTAGGCATGGTCCCAACAGGGCCTCCTGTCTCCTGACTTGTGACAATGGACTCAAAATAGTCCCACCCCTCACCACATATTCACCACCCGGAAATACAAGTTTATCTGTGGTCACCTCTCCTTCTCCAACTTCCTTCTGAGTTCACAATTTTACAGAAAGGGAAACTAGGACTGGGAAGCAATCAGGAAAGTTGCTATTGATGTCCCTTGCCCTTAGGCCAGGTAAGTGGCCTAAACTAATCAAGGGACCCAAGGTTCCTAACAACAGGGCCACCACCAACCTGCATGTCAAATTTATACTATTTAATGCAATGATCCCTCTCCATTGGTCATTGTCACAAGGACCTACAGTTGGCCTGAGTCCCTCTTCCTGTCACCAAATATGTATTATTTTCCTCTCATGTAATACTAGTTGTGTCTCTCCACTCCCACTTTTTCAAGGTCCAGGTTCCTTCCAGCATGTCTTGTGCCATGGGCCTAATCCTTGGGTCCACACTGGATCACGGATTTACCTATGGAAGAGTAGAGACAAGCAATGGAGGGCAATTTCTTGTTCATAAGAGATGTGTGGAAGCTGCATAATCATGCCAGCCAAGAACTTAGTCATGGTGCACATGCAGTGCAGTGGAGTTGACATTGGGTGGGCAAGTGACGAAAGACCTTGATCTACAAAACCAATATCATGATCACAGATAATACAGTTTACAATAAACCTTTCCAATCATCTAAAATAGAATACACATTTATATTTTAAAAAATTACTTTTATGTCTTTTTTGTACAGCAAATTTGATTTTAAATTATCTTTAAATTCTTGGTCACATTCTCCTGTGATACATCTGGGCTTCAAGAAATCTTTTATGAAGTTATATGTTCTTTAATTTAAAATGCTAAGCCTGAGTACCAGTATAAAAATAGTAATTAGTAAGGTCAGCCAATGAGAACTGTGGTCCTGATCAATAAGGTGTGACCACAGGCATTCCTATTCCATGTCTCCATGCTGGGGTTACAATGAACATTACATGTTACAATAGGTGAATTTTGTTTTCTTTTCTCTTTTGCTTAAGACAGGATCAAGCTATGTAGCCTAGTCTGGCCTCAAACTTTGATCCTTCTGACTCAGATTCTTGAGTGTGGGATTATAGAGTAGGCCACCACACTCCACCAATAGATGTTCTTGGTTATTTTTGGATTGTAGGTAATTTGTGGCTATTCTGCTGCAGTTGTTCTCAGCACCCAGAAGCTGACTGCAGACTTTGAGCTTTGGTCCCTATGTCCCTACTCTCATTCTTGTGGTACCATACATCTGAACAGAAGGGCCCTGTCCAGCACTTCTATTTGAGGACAGCCACTTCTATTTGAGGATCCAGCATCCTCTGTAGCTCTTTTGCTTTCAATTATGTGTGGAGCCTGAGCCTCTGCTTTTGCTGCCCTCTGGCTTCAGGAGAAAGGATTCTGTACTGCTACCAAGAAGTCCTTTGACTCCACACTTAACCTCTAACTTCTGACCATTTACTCTTAGCATTTCCTTGTCTTTCCCAAAAGGACTGAAGCCCAGAGAGAATCATTCAATGCCAATCACCAGTTCCCAATTCCTGTTCAAATACCTAATGCCAAGGAATTTCCTTCATGTGGCTTCACCATCCTGTTCACTGTCAGAGAAACCTTTAACAATTGCATGTCAACTAAACACAGTAGCAGCCATGCTGATGCTACCACCAGTGCTTGGGTTTCATTCCAGCCAGATGTGCATTTGAGTCTTCTCCCCAGGCCCTCCTCGAGGTCAGTTTCCCCAGGAAGCACATGTTCAGATGGACACAGGAGAGAAGGGAACATTCTGGAGTACTGTTGGGGTCAACACACCTGAGGAATGGAGAAGCAGGCCTGAGGGTAATGCTGTGACCTTCAGTGGGGCAAATCAAATGATGTAGCAGATTGACAGCCTGAAGGTAAGGAGGACATTTGAGAAGTTTTAATTGTTGGGAAGAGTTAGACTCTGTCAGATGATTCAGTGACTCTTGCTTGTGGGTAGTCACTATGGAAGACACAAAGTAGACTTAAGCAATGGAGGTCTACTCACCTGAGTGTCCCAGAGTCACTCAGCTGGGATCTGTTGGCTTCCTGACCCCACCAGCCACACAGGGTTAGTCCTGCACACCTTCTAAGGATCCATCAGTATGATTTCATTTATAAAAACCATATTTTAGTTACTGTTTAACTTTAAAAGCAAAAATAGTGCATTGTAGAAGTGCAAAGACCAAATACCTGCTTCCCCAGTTCTTCCTATGACATCAGAGAGGTTTCAGATGACATTGACACTGGAAGCGAGGGTGTCGCTGTAGTCAAGGTAACAGGTGTCATGCTAGGGATGATGAGTGAGGCCCCTCCCTAGTGAAAATTGAATCTTGTGCAATTGGGAACTAGTTAGGGTCACAGCTCTGTTATCTCAGAGGCAGAGAGTTCCTGATAATTTGTCTCATGAGTGCAATGAATGCAACTCACAGACACAGAGGGCAAGAGTAGAGACAGGAAATTTATTAAGAGAATGAACAAAGCTCCCACATTAGCAGGGAGTGGAGGAGTGGTATCAAGTGCAGTGCCAGTGAATTTTGGGTCTGGGGACTTTTAACGTGTTTTGTCCTGGGAGTAGCATGTTTTCTATGATAATTAGGTGTGTGGAAAGCAGCATTCTGGTTGGTTGTGCCACAACCTTCTGATCAGACCGTGGTCTCATCTGTTCATATCTAGGTCCCTCCTGCCTTTCCCCTTTCCCACCCACCTGAGTTCTGGCGGGAGGGTGCATTGCTAGGGAAATGAGTTGCTAAGGTGATGATGTCATCTTTCTGGTTTGACTCAGTAACTGAGGTTACAATGGAAGTTTCCAGGGGGCTCTTGGTCCTAACTTTACTTGCTCTATTTCAGTTAACGACCTATTCTCTTTTTTCACTAACAAGATACATGTTGTCTTGACTCACCTGGGTGTTTTTCAGGCAGTGATTTCATAAGCTTGCCTCCCTTAAAATGATTCCCTGGCTACTGAGAAAATTGGGCCCTCCAGCTCAACCCAGTCCTAAGGAGGACACTTGGCAACTCTCTTCCCATGTAACCCTCTCACTCCATGTGCATGCCTTGTTCACAATTGTTCCTGTGGCCCTGGGAGGCTGGAATTGCCTTGATCCCAGGAAACAGTCTTAGCGATGACTCTACAAGACAGCAGAGATGGCTTCTCTGGAGTTGGTCCCACAAATCTCTTGACCCTCCCTAAACTCTCTGCTTGATTTCCCAATCAAGGTGATAATACTTGCCCAAAAGAATTATGAGGATCAAAATGGAATTCACATTCCACGCATAGGTAATGTGTCACTGAGTATTCGCCTCAACCCATTCCCCTAGGAGGAAAACTTGGTGGGTTGAGGCAGGGATGAGTCGGAAGGAGGAACCTCTTTATCTTGCTCACTGCCTCAGGCTTGAACCAGCACAGCCAGGACAGTGCCACATTCAAGATCTTCAGAGGTTGATGGAAATAGGGAGCTTCAGATGGGCAAATGAGGCTCCTGGGAAAGGAACCCAGTGGGCACTCTAAGCCTTTTCCTGTTCCTTGATTTCCAGGTAAAAGTGTGTCTTCTATTTCTGCTCTTCTCCTCATCGCCCTACTCCTCAGCATCAAGGTGTTGGTGGCAGTTGGAGTTTCTGCTGTCTACATCTGCAAGAAGCAGAAGGCTTAAGCGTAAGTTTGGGAGAGGGAATGCAGGCCAAGGGCTACTGAGGAAGGGGCTGGGTTACCAGGTGGCTAGTTCCCATCATACGCTGTCTGAGTCAGTGGAGTCTAGAGTAGGTGACACATGTCCCTCAGCACCTTGGGAGTCTCATGGAACTCTAACAGGCTCCAAGCTCCCAGGAAGTGTGGGGGTTGTAGGAGGGGAGAGGTCAAGGGTTTGCACAAGGTGTCCATAGAGTCAAAGGGCTTCATGGAGGTGTGGGCCGAGGGCTGTCACTGAGGAACAAAGTACTGCCTATTCCCAGTGGAGGTGACCTCTAGATTAGTTGACAGCTGGTGATTCCTAGGAGAAGAATTAATCCAGAATTTGTAGCAAAATTGGGAAGCTCCACACGGGCTACTCTGTGGGTTGTTCCTGTTCTGGCCATCTCTGTGACCAAGTAGAAAGGATAGATATAGAGTCAGGACACAAGCAGCAGGCTACGTTTGCATTCCTGTCCTAGGGGTGGCCTGTCCATTCATGTCAGGCATCCCAGGATGAGTACTGCACCAGGGATGTAGAGCATCCTGAAGACAATGCAAGAATATAAGGAGCAGTCAATGTGACATATTTCTCCACAGCTCCTTCCTCCATCCCTTGCCTCATGCTGCCCCTTGACTGGAGAGGCTCGGCATGGGACAGGAGTTGATGAGAAGCTTCTGTGGATTCTGATCCACATGCACTGCTCTATGGACACCACTGGCTACAGGTTCCTGCTGCTCTTCTGCATGGCCCTTAATGTAGAGGAGATTCCTGTTCCTGAGCAGACACCTGAACTGGCTCTGGGCCTGACTCAGGACCCCTCCCGAAGATGTAAGAAACCAGCCGAGTGTGAGCACATCAGGGAATCTCCCATCCAAGGCCTCTAGGATCATCATGACACACTCTAGTGCACACCCTCCAGACTTCATCTGGCTTCAGGATTCTTGTGTACACCAGCTTCTCAGCCTGCTGAGGTTCTCAGATGAACCCCCATCATGGGTTTAAGGAGAAAAATTGTTCTCAGTACTGGCAGAGTGTCTCAAGCAGTAGAGCACTGCTTAGCAAACATGAGCCCCATGTTCAAACCCCAGTGCCATCAAAAAACCCAAAAGGTTACAGGAATAAAGAAAAGTATTTCCTTCCTCTTTATCCATGTATCCTATTCCTTGACCCTCTTCACCAAAGAATCTACTCTCCTCCTCTGAGATAAAAACACACTTTCCTGTCGTACCCTGCCTTCTTCCCAGTCCTTTCGACAGTTGAAAAAAACCTTTGAATTTTCTTCATTCAGTTGCTTTTTTTTTATAGTTAAAATGATAGTAAATTGTGTTAGGAAAGGAATGTAGTATAATGGGATAAAAGTAGGGAGAAATGGGGAAAAAGAAGAAAGATCTCCTGATCCCCATAATAGAAATGGGTGCTTTCAGCTGCTTTTATGCCCTGTATTCAATTTGTCTCTCAAATGCTTATGTTCTGCACTGGAAGCATGGCTCAAACAGTAGAGCCCCTGCCTAGCAATGTGAAGCTCTGAGTTAAAAAACCAGTCCTGCCAAAAAATGCTTAAGTCCAATGGAGAGTTCCCAAATATTTAAACATTGACTCTGAATAGATTAAAATTGCTGATTTGTTGTGCTTGTATATTCCTGTTATACAAACACAGAAAATATGGTCAGTTTCCAGTTACCAATCCTTTGATATCCCAATTGCAAAGTCCTGACAATTTCACAGTGGGTTCCCCCAATGCCTTTCCCACCCACCTCTGCACAACACTGAACTGTGTCCACAGTCTGCACAAGGCTCAACTCCAGCAAGCTCCATCTCTTCCAGGACCATTGTGGGAGCATCTAACCCCTCCCCTATGTCTGCCACAGGGTCTCTGGAAATATGAGAACATGTCACTTATTGATGTTTGTAGTTCACCCTCACTAACTTCCTCTGGATGCCTGTGTTAAGTCCCCCAGAGAAAGTAAGTGCTAACACATCACAGTCAGCTACTTAGGAGTTCTGTAAGTCCACTTTCATTCAATTTGAATCTCACCTTCAACATTATATCTTCTGGTTTCTGGATTGCACCTTTCCTCCTTTTTTCCTATTCCTTGTTTCAATTGTTCATTTCTGTAAAAGCCTTGTGGATTTATAGCTGGAAGACAAAGAGGCAACACAAGTTCAGGCTCTGCTGTCTTTTGTAAAGCTGAGGAAGACACTCAAGGGACCAGCCAATACCAGCAGACTTAGAAAGTAGTAATGTGACTGATCACTGATCATCATAAGAACTTGTTACTCACGTAGTGATTTGTGCACTGAAGATTCAGCCTGGAAGTTCATGTGTTATGCAATCACAGATGTTTACTGTACTAATTAAAATTTGAGCCATGTAATGAGGGCACAAGTGGTATTAATGGTGGTCACTAAAATTCATATGTATCAACACAAAAGTGAAACCACCTGTATTTGTCTATGTTCACTAACTCTGATTGAGAAGGGACCATCTGTCACCTCAGTAGCCAGAAGAGACCTGAAAAAGTGTAGATTTCCCAAAACCTTATAAAATAGGTGAGCGAATGTCATTGAGGATGTTGGTTTCTCCTAAATGTGGAATTTCAAATTAACATAACACTTTTCCTTATTCAATAATTAGCACGAATAAGGAAAGGGAAGACAATGTCTCTGAGAGCATATTTAAACTCAGATTTTGGTATCTGAGGGACACAAATGTGGGTTGCAGATTATACAGATCTACATCATGGGCTTAAGATTTCTCAGCTACTACAAGGTAGATTCAGGATGTGAATCCAGAGTGTATCTGGCTCCAAAGCTGATGCTGTTGACTATCTCTCTTTAGAATGACACTCCAGAGAGAGTGTGGAATATATTAAGAGATGGTAAGTTTCTTGGGCATGGGAAGAAGGGTAGGATAATGGAGGCTGGATTTGCATTCCAGTTGGAATTCATCTGTGCATAGTTATGGATAGGAAAGTGATGTCATTGGAGGAAGGAGAGTCGCGTAATCTCACAGAGATATCCAGGATTTGCTTTGCTTTCTCATCTTCTATCACTGATTCCATTCCTTGATATGTAGTGGTACCATAAGGCAGTAACAGAGATCACAAGGAGGCCATGTGGAAAAAGTCATAGAAACCAGTACCTGGTGATGGAGTCTTAAGCATTAAAAGGTCACCAGCCAAGTGTGGGTTGAGAGTCTTAACTCACAACTATTTTGCTTGGGTAAATCCATTCCAGAGGTGGGAATGACATGGGCCAATATGTTGTTCCTCCCTCATTCTGGGAGGCTTTCCCCCCCCAACCTTTTCCACTCTCTGTCTCAAGAGTTGGTCCCTGACCCAGCACAGAAAACAGGAGCCCTGACTCTCCCTGATATGTTCTCTAGACACATAGCTGTTCCTCCTGGAGAGATTCCCCACACCTAAATCTCCTTTAGAGCCCCTTGCATCCACTGAAGCACAAATCTTTGCCATCTCCAAAACTCTAATCCCTTTCTAAGCCACTCTGACTCCTCTGCAGGAAGGAGAAAGGAAGTGTCTTCCAGTATTATATGAAGCATTCCACAGCAAAGTCAGGAGAACCACAGACATTCCGTCAGGGTAACTGATAAAATGTTGCAGAGATTTGAGTGGCAGCGCAACATTGGCCAGATGTGGTCACTTCTAGTCTTTTCAGGTCAATGATGGAAGCCAAGCTCTGCTTATTCTGCTTTTATATGTTGAAAAATCCTAGCAGGCATGTGAAATCTCTTCCTCTAGCTCATTGATTGAGGTTGTTAGAGGCTTTGAGTCCCTAAAACCTCATTATTGGGTTAATTGAGGTGTTGAAAAGATTAAGGGAGGAGCAAGTCCAATATCTGAGGATGACAAAGGAGTGGAAAGGCCTATGTTTTTGAGGAGATAACAGAATATATGAGATACCCAGAACCATTTGGAAATTTTACTGAACATGAATTTCATGCAATCTTTTCCAAAAATAGAAGAAAAGGGGACATTTCCCAGCTCACTTTATGTGGCAATTTTTACCTCAAGAGCAAAAGTAGATGAAGCATGGAAAGAAAGAAAACTATACACTAATATTTCTCATGATTTTAGTTTCAAACATCCTCAGTAAGAGCTGAGAGTGTGGACCAAGTGGGAGATCACCTGCCTAGCAAGCATGAGACACTGAGTTCAAATCTCTATACTGCCATAAAGAACAATTCAACAGAGTTTCCGAAAAAGAATCAAACAGAAATAATAGTAATGAGAAGCTCAATAAGTGAAATAAAAATTGAAAGCTTCATCAACAGACTAGATCAAGGAACTGCCCACCTTCTCATCTTGAGGTATAATTCAACTTTTCTTAAGTCACTCTACCATATTCTTATTTTTTCTGGTTCTTTTACTGCACTTGGAGCAGCATCCTAATCCTAGATATTGTATGCAAGAACTGAGGAATATTGGAATACTCCATCCAAAAGTAACATTTTGGTGTCATGACTCTGATTTGCTAAAGGTGTTACAGAATATTTCCATCTTCAGACAATACTAACAAATTCCCACTTTTCAGCCCTGGATATGATGGTTACTTTGTTTGTGACAATTGGAGACCTCAGGTCCAGCAATGGAAAGGCCCTGTTCTCAGCAGCTATTGCTGCCTGAGCATAATCAACTTTCCTGTGTACTGACAGAGCAAGACTCTGGACCCTAAGTACCTCCTCTACTCCCTGTCAACAAGAAGTAGACAGATGGATCTCACTCTCCATACCCTTAAAATAATTCAGTGTCCTCACCTCCTAGGAGGGGGGAATGTTAGTGTAGGTAGATACATAAAACGCAAGCTAGAATGGAGAAATGC